AGCTTCGGCACTGCTGAGAGCAGAGGCTGCAGTCTCAGCTTCCAGGCACACAGCTACCCGGCAGCTGGGCTTGCAGCGCCCTCGGCTCTGCTGGCCCTCCGCCCTCACCAGCAGCTCCCACTCCCTGCAAAGCCTGCTGAATGCTGATCCTCCATGGACGTGGGCACAGCGATGCAGCCACCGTGCCCTCTGACCCCCCGGGCCTTTGCCAAGGTGTGCTCTCCCCCTGCATCACGCTCCCGAGCAAGAGGCTCCAGGGCTGGCATAGGAGGGAAGGAGGCGGCTGTTGGGCAGCCCCTGGGGGCGGGGGGGCACAGGCAGGGAAGTCAGGCAGAACAGCCTGTACCAGCCACCCACTAAGTAGATTCCTGGGAGACTGAGAGGAAATTAAGGGGGCTCCCTGTGCTCCAGAAAGCAGCAGTTCTGGATGAACTCAGTCATTTAGAAAAACGTTGCCTGAGGCTGGGAAATAACCAGGAGGCACTAGCAACTCCCAGTGTTGTCGCAGCCTCAACTTGGCAGCGGAAAGGCTCCCTGCTGCCCTGGGAGCTGCCTGTGCAGGCAGGGTGCAGCTCTGTTCCCACCACGTGGTGCAAAGAACCCCTCTTCCTGGAGCAGGGCAGGCTGTGAGCCTTTTTGTGCTGGTCCAGCTGGGGACAGAGCTGCTGCAGGGAAACCTCCCAGGAGCAGTGGGATGAGCTGTTTCCCACGCCATGGAGCATCCTCCCCGGCGGGTCCCAGCCAGCCGCTGGCCACGCTGGGGAAATGGCCATGCTGCCCTCACCCAAAGTGGTACCTGTGGTGGCAATGCAGTCAAAGCCCACAAAGGCATAGAAACAGGTGGCAGCACCGCTCAGGATCCCTTCCAGTCCAAAGGGGACAAACCCGCCGGAGCCAAAGTCTTCTTTCCTGGAAAGGAAGAAGAAGAGCAGCTGCTGTGGGGTGCATGGACAGCAGGGCCAGTGCCCACTGTGTTGGACCATGGCCTGGCATGGTTGCTCTCCTCACCTGATGTTATCCCACCAGTCCACGTACGACTGGTTGTAGTCCTCCTCCGAGAGCTGCCAGTTCTTGATGTCTCCCTTCACGAAGCCAGCGATGATCACGAAGCCCAGCACCACTAGGTTCACCGCTGTGAAGATTTTGTTCACAAGGGCAGATTCACTGACGCCAAAGGCCAACAGTGCTGTGGGGATGGAAGGGGTGAGCAGGGACCCGCCGGGCTCCCTTGCGACCACCCACAGTGCCATGGAGCCACTCCTACGCACTCACTGGTGAGCAGCCCAATCAGGAACAGGGCAAAGAAGTCCGGGCGCTCAGCCAGCACCCCTGGCAGGTGAACTGTGGTCTTGTTCATGAAGAAGGTGGAGATGTGGTTGCCGATGATGTTGTCGAATGCCGCGCTCCAGGCTC